GCCGGGGGTCGGAGCGGGGCGGCTCCGAGAGCGGCGCCGGAAACACTTCGTGGCCGCCAAGGAGAGACCTCGGCCCAGACCCCGGTACCCACAGGGGCTTGGGGGATTGGGGGATTTGGGGGATTTAGGGGTCTCATGTGGTGTTGGGTGTGTTGGGGGTCTCAGGGGTGTTTTGAGGGGTGGGGGTCCTGGGTGCTTTGGGGGTCCCCTGGGTGCTGGGTGTGTTGGGGGTCTCTAGGGGTCTCTTGGGGGGTCTCCTGGGTGCTGGGTGTGTTGGGGGTCTCAGGGTCTTTTGGGGGGGTCTTGTGGGTGCTGGGTGTGTTGGGGGTCTTTTGAGGGGTGGGGGTCCTGTGGTGCTTGGGAGGGTCTCCTAGGTGCTGGGTGTGTTGGGGGTCTCAGGGTCTTTTGGGGGTCTAGTGGGTGTTGGGTCATTTGGGGGTGTGGGGGTCCTGGAGGTCTCATGGGTGTGTCCTCCCCCAGCACGACCCCAAAGACCCTGGGCCCCCAGAAGCTCCCGGGACCCCTCGAAGGGGTGGGGAGAGGCTGGAGCCCTGAGGAGGAGGAGGAGGAAGAGACCTGGATGGAGGTGAGGGGGCACAGGGGGTTTGGGGGTCCCAGGTGGGGTTTGGGGGTCCCAGGTGGGATTTGGGGGTCCCAGGTGGGCTTTGAGGGGCTCAGATGAGTTTGGGGGTCCCAGGGGAGTTTGGGGGCACAGGGGGTTTTGGGGGTTCTAGGTGGGTTTGGGGGTCCCAGGGAGTTTGGGGGTCCCAGGTGGGATTTGGGGGCTCAGATGGGGTTTGGGGGTCTCAGATGGCAGTTTTTGGGGTGCAGGGGGTCCCAGCGTGGTTTTGGGGTCCCTGGGGATCTCAGGATGGTTTTGGGGGTCTCAGGACTGGGGTCCCAGGGTGGTTTTTGGGGTCCCAGGGGGGTCTCAGGGTGGTTTTTGGGGTCAGGGGGTCCCAGGGTTGGTTTGGGGGTCTCAGGTGGGTTTTGGGGTGCAGGGGGTCCCAGGGTGGGTTTGGGGGTCTCAGGACGGTTTTTGGGGTGCAGGGGGGTCCCAGGGTTGGTTTTGGGGTCTCAGGGTGGGTTTTGGGGTGCAGGGGGTCCCAGGGTGGGTTTGGGGGTCTCAGGACGGTTTGGGGTGCAGGGGTCTCAGGGTTGGTTTGGGGTCTCAGGGTGGGTTTTGGGGTGCAGGGGGTCCCAGGGTGGGTTTGGGGGTCTCAGGACGGTTTTGGGGTGCAGGGGGTCCCAGGGTGAGGTTTTGGGGTCCCAGGAGGGTCTCAGGATGGTTTTTGGGGCAGGGGGTCCCAGGGTGGGTTTGGGGGTCTCAGGACAGTTTTTGGGGTGCAGGGGGGTCCCAGGGTGGGTTTGGGGGTCTCAGGGTGGTTTTTGGGGTGCAGGGGGGTCCCAGGGTGAGGTTTTGGGGTCCCTGGGGGATCTCAGGGTGGTTTTGGGGGGTCTCAGGACGGGGTCCCAGGGCAGTTTTAAGGTTGGTTTAAGGGTGGTTTTTGGGGTCCCGGGGGGGGTCTCAGGATGGTTTTTGGGGTGCAGGGGGGTCCCAAATCTTCTCCCAGTTCGTGCTGCTGATGGAGCAGCACCGGGAGCTGCAGCAGCTGCAGCAACAACTCCAGCAGGTGGGACCCCCAAAAACCCCCCTGGGACCCCCAGAATCCTCCAGGAACCCCAAAAAAACCCTCAGGGACCCCGAAATCCTCCAGGAACCTCCAAACCCCCCTCAGGGGCTCCAAAATCCCCCTCAGGGACCCCAAAATCCCCCTTAGAGCTCCCCCAGCGACCCCAAAATTCCCCTAATCCCACCCAGCAACCCCAAAATTCCCCTAATCCTCCCCAGCGACCCCAAAATCCCCCTCAGACCCCCTCCAAACCCCTCCAGCCCCCAAAAGCCCTCCAGACTCCCAATCCCCTCCAGGGACCCCAAATCCCCTTAGACCCCCAGGACCCTAAAACCCCCTTAGACCTCCCAGCCCCCCAAAAGCCCCCAGACCCCCTCAATCCCTCCAGGGACCCCAAAACCCCTCAGAGCCCCCCAAAATCCCCTTAGACTCCCCAACCCCTCCAGGGACCCCAAAATCCCCTAATCCCCCTCCCAGGGACCCCAAAACCTCCTTAGCCCCCCAAAAGCTCCCCCAGCCCCTTTTAACCCCCCGTAGCTGAGGGCAGCGGTGGCAGCAGCAGAGACCCCCAGGGTGGGGGACCCCTGGGGACCCTAAATTGGAGCTGCAGGAGCTGCAGGAGGAGGAGAGGAGGGCGAGGGAACAGCTCGGGGGCTCCGAGAAGGTAACGGGGGAAAGGGCACCCCAAATTTGGGGGCTCTGGGGGTCTCTGGGGCTGGGGGTCCTAAATCTGGGAGGAGTCCCTGGGATTTGGGGGTCTCTGGGGTTGGGGGACCCCAAATTTGGGGGGCTCTGGGGGTTTGGGGGTCTCTGGGGTTGGGGGATCCCAAATCTGGGAGGGGTCCCTGAGATTTGGGGGACTCCAAATTTGGGGGCTCTGGGGGTCTCTGGGGTTTAGGAGACCCAAAATTTGGGAGGGGTCCCTGGGATTTGGGGGGACCCCAAGTTTGGGGGGCTCTGGGGGTTTGGGGGTCTCTGGGGTTGGGGGAACCCAAATTTGAGGGGGCTTTGGGGGGTCTCTGGGTTTGGGGGTCCTAAATCTGGGAGGGGGTCCCTGGGATTTAGGAGGACCCCAAATTTTGGGGTGTCCCCTGATTTTGGGGTGTCCCCAGATTTTGGGGGTGTCCCCTGATTTTGGGGGTGTCCCCAGATTTTGGGGTGTCCTCTGATTTTGGGGTGTCCCCAGATTTCTGGGGTGTCCCCTGATTTTGGGGTGCCCCCAGGGCTGGCAGAGCTGCTGGAGGAGGAGGGTGGAAGACCTCCAGGACCCCTCGGGGACCCCCGGGGACCCCTGTGGGGCAGCTCTGTCGCCTGGAATTTGGGGTGACCTGGCTGCTCCTGAGGGGGGACCCCAAAACCCGGTGAGGGGTTGGGGGGGTTGGGGGTTTAATTTGGGGTCATTTTGGGGTTTGGGGGATTTGGGGGACTGAGGGGGTTTAGGGGGGAACTGAGGGGTTTGGGAGTTTAATTTGGGGTCATTTTGGGGGTTTAGGGGTTTGGGGGGACTGAGGGGTTTTGGGGGTTCATTGGGGGTTTGGGGGGACTGAGGGGTTTTGGGGGTTTAATTTGGGGCTATTTTGGGGATTTAGGGGGTTTGGGGGAACTGAGGAGTTTTGGGGGTCCTGGGAGGCAGGAGTGGAGTTTGGGGGGGTTGGGGGACCTGGGAGGGGGAAATTTGGGATCCAGGGAGGTCAGTTTGGGGTTTGGGGAGTTTGGGGTCCTAGGGGGTAATTGGGCATTTTGGGGGTCCTGGGAGGTCAGTTTGGGGTTTAGAGCATTTTGGGGTCCTGGGGGATCTGAGGGGTTTTGGGGGTCACTGGGGGGGTATTGGGCATTTTGGGGTCCTGGGGGATCTGAGGGGTTTGGGGGTCCTGGGGGAATTGGAAGTTTTGGGAGCTCAGTTTGGGGTTTGGGGATCACTGCAGGGGGTGGGGGTCCTGGAGGCTTTTTGGGGGTTTGGGGACCCCCTCATTTCTTCACCCTCCCCCCCACCCCCAAACCAGGTCCTGGCAGGGGACGAGGCCTGGCGGGTCGACCCCCTCCAAGACCCCCCAGCCTCAGGTGAGACCCCACACACACCCAGGACCCCCTGAGATCCCCAGGACACCCCTGAGACCCCCAGGACCACCCTGAGATCCCCCAGGACCACCCTGAGACCCCCTGAGACCCCCCTTGAGACCCCCAGGACTCCCCTGAGACCCCCAGGACCCCCAGAACTCCCTGAGACCCCCAGGACCTCCCTGAGACCCCCAGGACCCCAGAACTCCCCTGAGACCCCCAGGACCACCCTGAGACCCCCAGGACACCCAGGACCACCCTGAGACCCCCAGGACCACCCTGGAAGTGTTGGGGGTCTCCCCCTTCCCCAGTACCCATGGGTGTCTCCCCATTTCCAGGGAGGACCCCGGGGGAGGAGGAGGAGGAGGAGAGACCCTGAGCCCCGAGAGCTGAGGGAGAGGGTCCTCACACAGGTGGGAGGGGGACACGGGTGGGGGTCCTGGACATGGGTGGGGGTCCCAGACCCATGGGTGGGGGTCCTGGACATGGGTGGGGGTCCCAGACCCATGGGTGGGGGTCCTGGGGCTGTGGGTGGGGGTTCTGAGTCTCTGGGTGGGGGTCCCAGACCCTCAAGGAGGAGTCCTGGACATGGGTGGGGGTCCCAAATCCATGGGGGAGGGGTCCTGAGTCCCTGGGTGGGGGTCTCAAATCCATGGGTGGGGGTCCCAGACCCATGGGTGGGGGTCCTGGACATGGGTGGGGGTCCTAGGGCCGTGGGTGGGGGTCCCAAATCCATGGGTGGGGCTCCTGGCTCTGTGGGTGGGGTCCCTCCCCTGGGTGGGGGTCCCAGACCCACAAGTGGGTGGGGTCCCAAATCCATGGGTGGGGCTCCCAGGTCTCTGGGTGGGGGTCCCACATTCCTGTGTGTGTCCCCCTCTAAAATCCCCTCCCTCCCCCTTTCCCCCCTCCAGGTGCTGAGCCGCGAGGGGAGACCCCTCCCCACGCCCCGGCTGGGTTTGGGGGCCTCGGGACCCCCTGAGCCCTGAAACCCCCTCCCCACAATCCGCTTCCCCCACGCCGTTCCCACGGAAACCAAATATTTGGGGCTGTGGCGGTCGCGTTGCCCCTGGCAACGGCCAAACTTCCCAAAACTTCGCGAAACGGCCCAAAACGAGCCTGGAGGGGAGGGGGAAGGTGGGGGAAGGGAGGGGGCACCGCCCTGTGTCCCCCGTGTCACCCACCCACGGGCCGAGGACACACGTGGGTGCCCCTACCCCTCCCCTCCCCATCCCGGGCACACCCCAGAGACCCCCCGACCCCCAACGGGGTCGTGGTGATCCCCTGACGTCATTGAGGGACCCCCTGACGTCACACATTCCCCCCCCCCACTCCGGCCACGCCCCGGGGGAACCGCCCGGAGAGACACGAGTGGGACCGACCGGCGGAGGGACCCGAACCCTGGCGGAAACAACCGAACCTGCTCGGGGGGGGAACCCGAACCGCCTGAGGGGCCGAACCGGGAGCCGAATCCGGACCGGCGGGACCCGAACTCGCCTGAGGGGACCCGAACCGGGACCCGAACTCGCCTGAGGGGACCCGAACCGGGATCTGATCCCGCCTGAGGGGACCCGAACCGTTACCTGATCTCGCCTGAGGGGACCCGAACCGGGATCTGATCCCGCCTGAGGGGACCCGAACCGGGATCTGATCCCGCCTGAGGAGACCGGAACCGTTACCTGATCTCGCCTGAGGGGACCCGAATCGGGATCTGATCCCGTCTGAGGGGACTCGAACCCAAAGGGACCCGAACCCGCCTGAGAAGACCCGAACCGGGACCCGAACTCGCCTGAGGGAACCCGAACCGGGATCTGATCCCGTCTGAGGGGACCCGAACCCAAAGGGACCCGAACCCGCCTGAGGGGACCCGAACCGGGACCTGAACCCGCCTGAGGGGACCCGAACCGGGATCTGATCCCGTCTGAGGGGACCCGAACCGGGACCCGAACTCGCCTGAGAGGACACAAACCGGGATCTGATCCCGTCTGAGGGGACCCGAACCCAAAGGGACCCGAACTCGCCTGAGGGAACCCGAACCGGGATCTGATCCCGCCTGAGGGGACCCGAACCCAAAGGGACCCGGACCCGCCTGAGGAGACCCGAACCGTTACCTGATCCCGCCTGAGGGGACCCAAACCGGGACCCGAACCCGCCTGAGGGGACCCGAACCCAAAGGGACCCGGACCCGTCTGGAGGGATCCGAACCGTTACCTGATCCCGCCTGAGAGGACCCGAACCGGGACCCGAACCCGCCTGAGGGGACCTGAACCAGGATCTGATCCCGCCTGAGGGAACCCGAACTCGCCTGAGGGGACCCGAACCCAAAGGGACCCAAAAGCGGGACCGTCCCGTCCTGAAACACCCGAAGCCGCCTGAGGGGACCCGAACCGGGAGCCGAACCCACACGGGAGAACCCGAACCGGCCCGGAAAGACCCGAACCGGGACTGTCCCGTCCGGAAACAACCGAACCAGACCCGTAGGAACCCGAACTCCTCCGGAAAGACCCGAACCCGCTCGGGTCAGTGCTGGGGTCGGGGCGGGGGTCTCCGGGGTTTTGGGGGGAACTGGGTGGGGGGGTGTGGGAGGTGACATCATATGGGGGTCCTGTGGAACTCCCTCCCTCTTCCCAGGACCCCCTGGGACTCCCCTGGGGTCTCCCTGGACGTCTGGGACCCTCCCCGCCGCATCACCCACAGGATGCAGCCAGCGCCCGGTGGGGGCGGGGCGACCCCAGGAAAGGGGAGGAGGGGGAAGGAGATTCTCCAAGGCCTTATTTGGGCATAGCCTGGACCGCACCCACCCCCGGGCTGCTGGGAGACCCCCTCCAAACCCCCCTGGGTGACCCCCAAAATGTTGGGATCCCCCCAACTCCTGTCAATCCCTGCAGCCCCCCAATAAACCCCAGCCCCCAAAGTTCCCCTGCCTCCCCAAGCCCCTCCTTTCCTCCCAACCCCCAAAAAACCCTCAGTATTTCCCAGACCCCCTCCCCAACTCCCCTGGGTGAACCCCTGGAGTCCTGAGACCCCAAAATGTTGAGGATCCCTCCCCACCAACCCTCCAATCCTGACAATTCCTGCAGCCCCCAAAATCCCCCCCAGCCCCAATTCCCCTGACACCCCCCCTCACCCCCTATTCCCCGACAACCCCCCAGCCCCAATCCCCAGCTCCCCAATACCTCTGATAGCCCCCAGACCCCCAATACCCCCAGATACTCCCCTCAATCCCCTGACACCCCCCAGCTCCCCAGTGCCCCCAGTACCCCCTAACCCTCGGTTTTGCCCCCAGCCCCGGGATGCCCTCTGTGCCATCCCCATCCCCCTGTGCTGTGTCCTGACCCCCAACAACCCCACCCCCAATATCCCCCAGCCCCCAATACCCCCAAATCCCCTGACACCCTCAGCTCCCCAGTGCCCCCAATGCCCCCCAACCCCTGTTTTTTGCCACCCCAGCCCCTGGGATGCCCCCTCCGTGCCGCCCTCCATCCCCGCTGTGCTGTGTCCAGACCCCAAATATCGCCCAGACCCCAGATAACCCCAATTCCCCTGACACCCCCAAATTCCCCTGACACCCCCAAATTCCCTGACATCCCCTAACCCCTGTTTTTATCCCCCAGCCCCGCGATGCCCGCCCCGTGCCGCCCTCCGTCCCCCTGTGCTGTGTCCTGACCCCCAACAACTCCCAGACCCCAGATAACCCCAATTCCCTGACACCCCCAAATTCCCTGACACCCCCCAAATTCCCCTGACACCCCCCAATTCCCCTGACACCCCCTAACCAATGTTTTTATCCCCCCAGCCCCTGTGATGCCCCCTCTGTGCCGCTCTCTGTCCTCCCTTCGCTGTGTCCTGACCCCCAGTACCCCCAGTCCCCAATATCCCCAGCCCCCCAATATCCCCCAGATACCCCCAAATTCTCCTGACACCTGTTTTTATCCCCCAGCCCCCGTGATGCCCGCTCTGTGCCGCCTTCCATCCCCCTTTGCTGCGTCCTGACTCCCAATAACCCCCTGACCCCAGATAACCCTCAATCCTCTGACACTCCCCAAATTCCCCTGACACCCCTAACCCCAGTTTTTTATTCCCAGCCGCCGCATGCCCCCTCTGTGCTGCCCCTCCGTCCCCTTCGCTGCGTGCAGGCCCCCAGTACTCCCCTAGCCACCCAATATCCTCAGCTCCCAATATCCTCCAGATACCCCCAAATTCCTCTGACACCCCCAAATTCCCCTGACACCCCTAACCCCAGTTTTTTATTCCCCAGCCGCCGCGATGCCCCTCTGTGCTGCCCTCCGTCCCCCTTCGCTGTGCAGGCCCTCCAGTACCCCCAGCCACCCAATATCCTCAGCCCCCCAATATCCCTCAGATACCCCAAATTCTCCTGACACCCCCGAATTCCCCTGACACCCCTAACCCCTGTTTTTTATCCCCAGCCCCCGCGATGCCCGCTCCGTGCCGCCCTCCGTCCCCTTCGATGCGCCCTGACCCCCAGTACCCCCAGCTCCCCTAACAACCCTCAGTCCCCCAATATGCCCCAGTCTCCAGATAACCCCACTCTCTCAACACCCCCAAATTCCCTGACACCCCTAACCCCTGTTTTTATCCCCAGCCGCGCGATGCCCCCTCCGTGCCGCCCTCCGTCCCCCCTTCGCTGCGTGCAGGCGCTGTGCGCGCTGCTGGCCCTGTCCCTGGCGGCGGCGGCGGGGCCGTGGCTGCCGGGCGAGGCGACGGCTGCCTGTCCGCCTGGGCCCTGTCCTTCATCCTCACCCTCCTCCTGCTGGCCAACGACGCCCTCCGCCGCCCCCGCCCCGCGCCGCGACGTCCCGCTGGCTCCTGGCCTGCGCCGCCGGCCTGGCCTGCGCCGCCGCCACCGTGCTGTGGGCCGCTGGGCCACCTGCGAGGCCGCGAGGGCGGCCAGGGCCAGCCCCGCGCCCTTCCGCGCGCCGCCGCCGCCTTCGGCCGCGCGCGCTAGGCCTACGGCGCAGAGGTGGCCCGGGACCGCGCCTGCCCGGAGAGGCCGCCTGTACCTGGCCACCCTCGGGGCTGCCTCAAGGTGGCCGAGGCCTTCGTGGCGCTGCTGCTGCTGGGCCTGGCGGCCGAGCTGGGCGCCGCTCGGGCTCCGCCGCCTGGCGCTGGTGCCTGGGCATCTACTGCGTGTCCTCGTGCTGGGCGCGCTGCTGGCGGCGGCTGCCTGCTGGGCTGGAGGTGCTGCGGCTGGATGCGGACCCCAGGGGCTGCGCTGGGCGCTGGGGTCTCACGCTGGGCTGGGCGCGCTGGCCTCACGGGGCGGCCACCGTGCTCTGGGCGCCGACGGCTTCTCCGAGGACCTGGGGGGCCGGGCGCGCCGGCCCTACGGCTGCTCCCCGGCCTGCCCCTGGGACAGGACCGTGCTGGTGGCCGTGCTCAGCGGCCTCAACCTGCTGGCCTTCAGCCTCGACCTGGGCCAGACGGGCAGGCTGGTGCTGCTCAGGCCTGAGGGGGGTCCGGGGGTGGGAAAAAGGGGGGGAAACGACTCCCTGAGGGGGTGTGGGGAACCCGAAGAGAGGGCTGGGGTCACCCCCGGGGTGGGATCGGGCTCCTGGGTCCTCCTTGGGGCGGGATTGGGACCCTTGTTGGGGTCTGGGATCACTCCCAGGGTGGGATTGGGACCCTTATGGGGGTCTGGGGTCACTCCCGGGGTGGGGTCAGGCTCCTAAAGAGGTGCTGGATCCTCTACAGGGCAGGACTGGGACCCTTATTGGGATCTGGGGTCATCCCTGGGGTGGGATCGGGCTCCTAAGGGGGTCCTGGATTCTCCTTGGGGCAGGATTGGGACCCTAAGAGGGGTCTGGATCCCCTCCTGGGAGGGATTTGGACCCTTATTGGGGTCTGGGTCCACTCCTGGGAGGGATTGGGACACTAAGAGAGGTCTGGGGTCACCCCTGGGGTGGGATTGGGTGCCTAAGGGGGTCCTGGATCCTCCATGGGAAGGATCTGGCACTGACGGGGTTCTGGGACCCTCATGGAAGGGATCATGTGCCTATAGGTGGTCGGATCCTCTCAGGGAATATTGGGGTGCTAAGGGGGGGTCCTGGGGAGGGGGAAACCACCGAGGCCTTAATTTTGGGGGACTGTGCTGACATTAAAAAATGTATTTCTGCTTCTTAATGAGCCTCTGTGTGTTTGTGAGGGGACACGGGGGGGATGTGGGGGGAAACAGCGGGAAATGTGAGGGGAAAAATGGGGGGAATATGAGGGGAAAATGGCGGGAAACGTGAGGGGAAAAGGGCGGGAAACATGAGGGGAAAATGGCGGGAAACGTGAGGGGAAAAGGGCGGGAAATGTGAGAGGAAAATAGAGGAAAATGTGAGAGGAAAAGGTGGCAAAGGTGAGAGAACAAAACGGCGGAAAACGTGAGGGCACAAAACGGTGGGAAACGTGAGGGGAAAATGAAGAGAAAGTGAGGGGAAAAGGGTGGGAAATGTGAGAAGAAAAGGGTGGGAAACGCGAGGGGAAAATGGAAGGAAAGTGAGGGAAAAATGGAGGGAAAGAAACAGGAAAATGAAGGGAAAATGAAGGCGAATGTGAGAAGACAAAATGACAGGAAACGTGAAGGGGAAATGGAGGGAAATATGAGGAGAAAATGGCGAGAAACGTGAGGGGAAAACAGAAGGAAATGTGAGGGGAAAAGGGCGGGAACTGTGAGGGGAAAAGGTGGGAAACGTGAGGGGAAAATGGGAGAGGAAAAGGGAGGGAAATGTGAGGGGAAAAATGGGGGGAATGTGAGGGGAAAAAGCAGGGAAATGTGAGGAGAAAAGGGAGGGAAATGTGAGGGGGAAAATGGGGGGAATATGAGGGGAAAATGATGGAAAATGAGGAAAATGGCGAGAAATGGAGGGAAAATGGAGGAAATGTGAGGAGAAGAGTGGGAAACATGAGGGGAAAACAGAATGAAATGTGAGGGGAAAAGGGAGGGAAATGTGAGGGGAAAAAGGAGGGAAATGTGAGGAGAAAAAGGAGGGAAATGTGAGAGAAAAAGGGAGGAAAATATGAGGGGAAAAGGGAGGGAAATGAGGGGAAAAGGAGGGAAATGTGAGGGGAAAGGAGGAAATGTGAGGGGAAAAGGAGGAAATGTGAGGGGAAAAGGAGGGAAATGTGAGGAGAAAAGGAGAAATGGAGAAAAGGAGAAATGTGAGGGAAAAGGAGGAAATGTGAGAGGGAAAAGGAGAGGGAAATGTGAGGAAAAGGAGGGAAATGAGGGGAAAAGGGAGGGAAATGTGAGGGGAAAAAGGAGGGAAATGTGAGGAGAAAAAGGAGGGAAATGTGAGAGGAAAAGGGAGGAAAATGTGAGGGGAAAAGGGAGGGAAATGTGAGGGGAAAAGGGAGGGAAATGTGAGGGGAAAAGGGAGGGAAATGTGAGGGGAAAAGGGAGGGAAATGTGAGGGGAAAAAGGAGGGAAATGTGAGGGGAAAAGGGAGGGAAATGTGAGAGGAAAAGGGAGGGAAATGTGAGGGCACAAAATGGCGGGGAAGGCAACACAAAATGGTGAGAATTCCTCAGCGGGACCCCCGAAACTTCCCCTCCCTGCCCCCCCAAATCCACCACAGAGTCTTGGAGGGA